TATTAGATGTCCTGATGAGGGCTGCGCATGAGGGCTATCCCTAAATCCTAATCTAAACCCTCTAGTTGCTTCTTTTAAGAGTGACAAACAGGAATTTCAAGACAAACTAGCACGTACTTTTTTTTTAAAGAAATTCACATTAGCTTTTTTTTTAATGGTAAATGCAGCTTGGACGCTGAATTTCTCCTGTACCCTGTTAGACAGTTTTGAAGGGATGGCAGGAACTGAGCAGGCCATTTACATAATTTCCCTAAGCCCTGAAGATAGAGCAATGTGCTGTCAATCTAAAGGGCTGTGGGCAGAGCTAGATGTGGCTATTTACTGATAAGGCCAGCATCTAAGCAGCTACATATGATTCTACTGGCAGGATCTACCGGGCAGCACACATATACTACAAAGGTGCTGGCATGCATCAAAACATACTATTTGGCAGTAGGGAGTTATCTGGGCGAATTAATAACAAATATAAACAATATAAATATATTTTTTTGTCTCTCCATACAAACACACGCCTATATGCGTGTGTGCTTCTGCACTGCCGAACTACATTGCCACTACTTCTGAATGTGTGGTCCCCCCTGAGTGTTCTAAGTTCCATGGCAGGCCCCTAGGCCAACAACAGGGCACAATAGCGAGGAGACAAACCACTGGGGAATGTCAGAATCTGACACTCCTGGAAGTTTTAAGTGCAGAAGATCTTTGGGCAAAATTATCTAACAATCTGCCAATTGACATAGATCTTAAGCTGGCCATACACTAGTAGTTTGCAAAACAATTTGGATGGGGGGCACCCATGGGCCCAATATGCCCCCCCCCCCCCCCAAAACAAGCAATTGTATTCTGACAATGGTGGGTGTGGTGCCATCAGAATGTCCGAACAGTGACTGCGACTTATTGGTTGCAGACACTTGTCGGCTGATAATTTTCAGACCAGACCCTTCAACAAAAGTCAGCAGGATTTGGCTGAAATTCAAGCAGTGTATGGCTGGAAGAAAGGGCCAGCCCGCTGCTGATTACTACAGCACCCACATATCTCAATAGAAACGATTTCATCTTTTGAAGTTAGCGACAGGGTCACTTTAAGTTCTGAGTTGTGCGTGACAAGCAGCTGGACTGTTTCAAACAGACATGGTGGGAAAAGGAGCATGGGGACTGTCAGACGTAGCGGCAAGAGCAAAAGATAATCCCAAGATCTATTTGTTTTAACAGTGTGTGCATTGTACAGAACATATTCATATGGTAGTCAGAGAGAATCCATTTAAGTAGTACACCTCCAGAGACTTCTGGCACATATCATCACACACAGTGATCCAGTCTGTCTGCTGTCTGCAGCGCTAGTCACATGCCTTTAGAAATACACAGTACTAATGGCTAGGAACTCACCGGAATGAGCAGTCCCATCGGTTTTTGTTTAACATACTGGCATTAATGAATTTTCCTTTTTAGGGAAGGTATGGAAAGTCAACCTTCCCCTGACATTACATTAGACTGCAATATAGCTGAAAAACCTGCACAGTTGTTGAAGAAAGGCGTTTCAATGTAAACCTGGATATGTGGAATTACACAGAGAACTGGGAACAAAAGAATTTAAAAGATGGTCCAAAACTTTATGGTAGGAAATTCTATTCCCACTCAACTGCGGCAGAACTTTGTCATTTTAAAGGAGAAAATCACTCAGCCTCATAGTTCGATCCGACATGTGACAATAAAACTGTCACACGTCGGCTCAATAGATCGGGAAATGAGCGAACACATATCGTCGCTCGCTCACTTCTCAATCATGCCCTTGCAGAGAATGGTGACCGTCACTCACGGCTCCCTGCAGGGATTCCCCCCCTTCCCTTGTCCAATCCTCTAGCGCTGACTGGCGGAACGGACGGGGGCGGGTACAGCTGGCTCTGCCTCTAGATAGGCAGAGCCAGCTGTCAATCACACAGCTGGGTGGATCTCGACAGTAATGTCGGGATCCGTCCTGGCTGCGGCGTCTCAGTATACCACGAGCTGTAGCTCGCGATATACTGAGCTTTGGGTCACGGGAGGACGCTAGTTTGTGTCCTCCCGTGACCCTTAGGAGAACTATGGGGAAAAACACTTACCCCATAGTTCTGCTTTAAGCTTTAAAGCTGGACTCCAAGGAGATATTAAAAGAACCCTAATGCAGTTATGTATTCAATAAAAATGTATATCTAAAGCCCAACTTTTTTTTTTTAGATTTTGGATAGGATAGGAAAATTTCAAAACCCCTGTCAGTTATTTCTGCCATATGTGTCCCATTAGGAAGTTTTCTTTTTACTTCCTGCCCTGTAGAAACAACAGGAAGTGAGAAAAAAATGCTTCAAGTTGAGATGTCCCTGAAATGAGAGTCCTCTATGGAAGATACCCCCTCTATTGTAGTTCTGGTGGCAATTCAAATTCTAGAGGCACAAAAAAACCCAAAACAAAACTCACCACTGTATCCAAAACAAGAAAAAGGCTTTAGATTCACTTTCATGTTTTTTCCATATAATAAATACCCGGAACCATCTTGATATCTGCTTTTTGTTATCCTCAGCACACTGGAACAGGAAGAAAATCAGCAAAAAGGACTAATTTACTTTCCACAGTACATACAGTCTTCCAGAATGATTAGGGAGGGGTAGAGCACAGTGACTGCCTCATCAGTGTGATGCAGCTCCTTCACTCTCCAATCACAAGCTACATTCAATTAAAAATAAAATAATGATTCAGCCAAACCATTATTATCAAGACTATAAAGTCCTCCAGTGGTGTATTTTTTCAAAAGGCACCTAAATCAAAAGGTAAAACAATATTTTTGGCAGGCAATGCAGCTCACAAATACACAATGTGGGGAATTTATAAAAATTGGAACAGACAGAATCTGGAGCAGTTGCCTATAACTAATCCATTTCTCTCTTTAGTTTGTTGAATTAAGACTAAAAAAATGAAAAGGTAGAAGATGATTGGTTGGGTATTTTAAATTTGGAATCTTCAGTCCAGAGCACCTGCTGCCATTTTTGTGCACCCCAGTTCCTATGTTTTCGTGCATAGTTGAGTCGCATAGCCTTGTTTCCACACTCGAGGTACGTTTTTTGGCTGCAAGGCCGCAGAAAATTGGCAGCAGGTATTCTGGACTGATGAGTCGAAACTTGAAATATTTGGCTGTAGCAGGGGGCAGTTTGTTCACCGAAGGGCTGGAGAGCGGTACAATAATGAGTGTCTGCAGCAACAGTGAAGCATGGTGGAGGTTCCTTGCAAGTCTGGGGCTGCATTTCGGGAAATGGAGTTGGAGATTCGGTCAGGGAGGTGTGTGATTGGCCACAAATTTATTCTGCAGCACGACAAGGACCCCAAACATACAGCCAATGTCATTAAGAACTATCTTCAGTGTAAAGAACAAGGAGTCCTGGAAGTGATGCTGTGGCCCCCACAGAGCCTTGATCTCAACATAATTCGGTCTGTCCGGGATTACATGAAGAGACAGAAGGATCTGAGGCAACCTACATCCACAGAAGATATGTGGTAAGTTGTCCAAGATGTTTTGTACAACCTACCTGCCGAGTTTCTTCAAAAACTAGAAGAATTGATGCTGTTTTGAAGGCAAAGGGTGGTGGCACCAAATATTGATTTGATTTGGATTTCTCTTCTGTTGATTTACTTTCCAGTTTGTTCATTGAAAAAAATAGTAACACTTTTATTTCTGAAAGCATTCTTGCTTTACAGCATTTACAACCGATCAGCATCTATCTATTCAGTTTGCTCAGGTAAGATTTGAAAATGAGACAGAGAAGCTGATTGGTTGCAGTGCAAATCTGCTCCAGATTTTGTCTGCTCCAGTTTTGATAAATTCCCCCCACATAGTATGTACTGTATGCTATAATTATTGTTTCAGTTGGGGACACATTGCCAAAATCAAATTGCAAAAATAAAAAAAAAATCTCAGATCCGTCGGTTCTCTAGCCAATAGCCCATTACCAAAAGATCAAAATAAAGTCTCCCATATTCAACAATCTTTTGGTAGATTTCTTAACAGACTATTTTATGATCAATTCACCTATGAGGAAAAAAAGAGAATTTATGTGACTAACTGCTACACCTGCAAGTAATGTAACACTAACACTCCAACACAACATTTTCAGGAAATTTTTGTTTTCTAACCCAGCATAAGCCAGTCTATTACTACCAAGGCTTAGGGCAACTTGCAGGGTCTTATTTGAAAAAAAATAATCAATTATAAGTCAACATTTCAATAGACTTTTGGTCAGTCTAAAGCTGGCCATACACCGCTCAAATTTTGCTCGATTCCTGTGCATCAGACACAATTTGAGCCCTGGGTGGCCCTGTCGACATTACCTGGCTCATCAAAGTTCAACTGAAAAATCGAAAATAACTGTGCGGAAACCAATCAGCTGCAATGTTTATTGTGCCAGCTGTCAGAATTCAATAGCTGTCAGAGGAAATTCCTCTATCCACATGTTTAGCAGACTGAACAAGAGAAATCTTTACATGCATGGACAGCTGAATGCAGCTCAAAACCCACAAAATATTAGATAAGTCAGCATTCTAACAGGCACACCTGTAGAAGTGTGTGTAAGAAAGCTAGAAGACCTTTCCAAGCTGATATCTCCTTTCCTGATAGATCAGAGAAATGTTGAAGAACAGCGTTTCAAGTCAACGACAAACCTTTTTTTTTTTGCATGGAGAAAATGACAAGGCATAACTGAACAGGGGAAAGAGAATTCTAATACAAACAGATTCACAGGAAACATTTTATACAGTGCTGGCAGAACAAGAGCAGTCAATACTTCTGCTGCATTTGCAATCTTTTTAATACATATGTGTCATTAGAGGGCTTTGTTTTTTCTTTAGGATACATGAAATAGCTCCCAATCCAAACGGCAGCATTCCTATGTGATGTCAGGGGGCATGACTCTGGAAGTTCTGTTTTATACAGCCAGCCCCCTTCTCTCTTCCTTCCACACCTCCTCAATTGTTCCCATAAACTGAGTGACAAACTCCCAGCATTGACACACAACGCCAGGAAGGGTGGGATGAAAACTTTCCTGTAGCCTGAGGCACGCTGACCTAGACCTTCTGCAAAGCTAACAAGGTAAGACTGCTTACTAAGAGTGCTCTCTGGAAATAAGAGCACAATAAAGAAGAGACTGCTTACTAGAAACAAATAAGGATACACAGCAGAATGCTGGCACTTCTCCAGCTTGGGTCAAAATGAGATCAAACTCTTATCATTAGATCAGTTATTTATGAAAACTGTTGGCTTAAGCTGGCCATACTCCTGTAGAATTTTGTTTGAAAAGATACGTTTCGGGACATTCATTCGATTTTCTAATAGTTAATGGGGTCAAATTGATGATTGATTTTGACCATAGTGACAGCAAAATAAAATCAAAAGCGCAGGATGAAATTTTTTTCTTGAATGAACAAAATCCTAACAATGAATGTGGTTTTCATTCAAGAAACTCTATTCATTCAAAATCAAATGAATATTAAGATCAAACAAGTCTGACGGCATTATCAAATGTTCTGATGACATTTTTTCTATGAAAGTTTGTTCAGAAATCTAAGAGTATCTGACCAGCTTGACTTTTTTTTCCATAAGAGAAGATAAAGAAACCAAATTACGATAGATAACAATTAATTACCTATACAATCTATAAGAGACACGTAAAGTAAGAACTCATCAACATTTAACAGGAGGTGGAGGGGGCAAGTAGAAATAAAATAAAACTTAAACTGTCACCAGATCACAAGACATAAACAAAACAAGCGAGTGTTGCAATATTGTAAGTAACATTCTACCCAGGATTTTGAGATTAAACGGTCACCTACAAAAGCAGCTTTCAACAGTTTAGTAGATTAGAGAACTAAACCAACAGAAAAACCACTAAACTAGTGATCAACTTGAACCCATCCGAATACAGGCATCTAAAGAATAGAGGGCAGAGTATTTAAAGATATGGAGTCAAAACCTCACCGGTAATGCTAATCATACACCGTACACATCCAGTGCCAAGTCACCCAATCAGCAGGAGTTGCAGAGTAGAGGTATATATTTAATAAAAAGTAGTTGCATACAGCTCTTCTTCTCTGGTGTAGAGGATGTTAAATTAATTCCATGGGGACATGATGAAATAGACTGCTTACGCGCACTTCCTGGGGGCAGCAAGAGGCACTCGATTCCCAGAAAAGTTTGCTTTAAATAAGGAGTATTATGAAACGAGGCACGTTTCAGCTGCAACAAAGATATTGCAATAATTACCATCTATGTGGCTTGATCACACTAGAAGAAAATGCTCCAAATATGTAGAGCCAAATGCACTAGCAAATGTTTACTGGAAATAACAACAAAGGGCAAATAATGCCTCTTCATGCCAGCAAGCCAGGAAAAACAACAAAAGCACAATCACTTATTTTTAACCTGCGGGCTATTTTTTTCCCCACTGGTGACCTTCTGAAAATCCCCCGATATCCTCGTGGGTTTAGGAAGATACAACCACATACTGGAAATTCAAGCAATGCTTTACCTTCTAGATCATAAGATACAGAAATCTAGGATTAGTGGAGAACTGAGCTCATAAACATGACAAGCTAGAACAGTCCTTCGGTTTACATGGGATTTGGTGACAGAATGTTAGGCATGCTATTACTATTTAATAGCATTTTGCAGTTACAGTCAGATGCCCAAAATGCCCCCTCAGTGTTTAAGTACTGGCAATGCTATTACAACAGCATTCAATAACACAAATCAGAGTGAGAATATACAGTAGCATTTATAATCTACCGTATGCACACAATATACAGTTTCCTCTCAAAACACAAAAATACACAATGTTTCTAAAGACCATGTTGGCAAACCTATTTGCTTGAGAGTATAACATGTGCTACACAGAGGTACCCTATGGCAATCATAGGAATGCCAATGAAGTGATTGTACTAAGTGACACTTAAAGGTGCAACTGTACAAAGCTGTTTGGTGGAGTGGGGTGGTGTGTCATAATCTCACTCACTTCAGTAGTCCCATTTCATTTAACTTAAGTCTAATGTAGAGCACTTCTAGCTTCTTTTGATTTGGCCCATAAAGTGTATGTATAGCCACAACTTTTAGCTTTGGATAAAGTATAGAAGTAATAAAACTCATTGCAGTTTATGTTATTCTGTCTGTGTACCATTGGGGCAAATTTTCACTCCGTCTCATAGATGCCTAAGGAAGTTAGAAAAAAAACTCCAAAAGTTAGGTGCCCAAAGAACAGCTGTCCCCAATGGATGATTTCCCCTCACCTCATCTTCTGTCAACAACTCGAACATTTTGGATTTCCCCTCACTGCGTTTCTAGGTGATAATGGACACCAGTATAAAGATAGGGGTGAATCTCCCCAATGGGGACTCAGACAGCAATAAAAACTTAAACTGTGTAACTCTTCCCCATTATATCTAAACAAAACAAAATGTGCTGCCTAGAGATGCACTTTCATTTTACTGCCCCATGAAAACCTAAGTGGCATCTCTGGAACTTTACCAGAGAATATTATATAATAAAGTGTGCCAAATATGCTAAGAACAAGACTTCGGAGTCACTGAGTTTGGTGAGCATATGTGACTACATTGATTTCGTTCCATTCCACCAAACTCTGATCTGGATTTTTCCGTTTAAATACTTCTAGAAACATAATACTTTTTTCGCAGATGTAAAAAACAAACGTTTTCGGCACTGCTTTGTTATAAATCAAAGCAACAATTTGGTCACCATGCCAGTTACAGGAAATAGAGGTCCTAAATTTCAGCTGTCTTCTTCTTTAAATACATAATATGGACATAATTTGTATAATGCATTGTCTCTACAGCGCTGTGCAATTAATGACCTACTGATATATGTTCAGCAGACATCCACTTGTAATACAGCTCTATAGGCTTCTGGTTTATGTCTCCGTTTCAGAATCCAGTATAGAGCCAAGAGAATACTGGAATGTTACAGTGCCCAGACTGATGGCATGTGTTTTCTTAGCCTAATATGGACTACAGAATGAACTATATTAACAGCCAGCTTTAAATGTGATGCGAGGAGAAGTAGACTACAAAACAACCCGGAAGCCATACATACCAGATACCATATACATGTTAAAAAAAGATTTCACTTTGGCCTTGAAATAGCATAGAACTGCAGGACAGGTAAAGTTACTTAAAAGATAGCTCGTAACCCTAAAAGCAAGAAGATAAATTCTGGTATGGGATTTTGTACTTTAATGTGCTACTTTTGAAGATGGAACTCCAAACAAAACATTTACTACTAGACAGGGTTTTTATGTCAGGTTGGTGTCCAAATATCCTCTCACGTCCTGCCCTGATGGTCACTGATAAAGGGGCAGGTAGTGAGGGAAAATCTGCAACAGTGACACAAACAGGCTGAAAAACTTGACAAAGGTTCTAAGAAAATAATTAGAAATGTTGGTGTTGTGTATCCTTTAAGGAGATGTTCCCACAATTCGTGCCCAGGTGTCTACATTCTCTAGGACAGGTGGGACAGGTATCCTGACATGTGCAAAGTGTTAACAGGTGTAGGTATAGCAGATATATGAACATGGCAACGTATTAACATATGAACATAGGTATAGCAACCTAAGAGAAGACAAGAATCCCTAGGTGAGGTGAGTTAGGAAAAGAGGTGGAAATCTAATTGCACATCCAATTAAGCCTGGCTGTATAAATTCATGTACATATGACATAAGTAACTGCTTAAATTGTGTAGGGCCTGTCATGATGTGCCTCTCTAGGATGGCCACAAAAAGGAGTTGAATACCGGAATAGTAGGTCCTCCTCTGCAGCCTGATAAATTAACTGCCAAACTGGGGCTCTTATGTTGGCCACCTTGCCTTTCCCTGTTGGGTTGTCCTGTAGGATCTAGAAGAATACCAGGGATCTATCCCACCTCCATAAGCACTTAGTAGAACCAATGTGTGAAAGAGGGGATAGAAGTAGGTAGGGGGAGGAGGAAAAATGGGGTCATGTTAAAGTACAAGAAGGGGGAGAGGGCGCATGGGGGTTAAAAAAGGAAGGGGGTGGGATGATGAAGAAAAAAAAGGGGAGAGGATGGTTCCCTATGTGGGCCTTCCTCCTTAGCCAGTCAAGACCTCCATGCCACCAAGAGAAACTGATAGGGGGACTTTTCTTTGCAAATTTTTCTATGTCAAGCTCACTGTGATAGACTACATAACCTAATTTTCTATTAATATGAGCACTTCTTAAATTGCATGATCCACTTGCACGGTTAGTTGTCTAACTTTCCACTCTCCTGCTTACCCAGCTTCAGCACAGAGAAGACTAAGGTCCTCTTTCACCTCGCACACGGAAAGCCACTCTCTTTCTTCACCTCTTCTGTAACCTGCACCTCTCTGTCCTCCTCTAGCCATGGAGAAGGTCCAGCACATGACCCGCTCCGCCATGAGAAGAGCCTCAAACATTGAGGTCAATCCACAGACCCGACGAAACTTACAGGAACTCTTTATCAACTTCTCTCTGATTCTCATCTGTCTTCTTCTCATCTGTATCATTGTGATGCTCATCTGAGACCCTTTACTGAACAGCCCATCGCATAGACTCTATAAAACGTCCCTACGGAGGACTCACTGTAAAGATTCAATATGTAATTTATAAGCGTGCAGTGAGCATCTGGTCATTCTAGATGTTGATTCATTTTTATATAATAGCATAAATATTGTATAATAAACATTCTGTAACCATTTCAGCAGCCTGTAATGCAATGTTGTGATAGTTTTGCCCACGTATGCAGGGATTACAAGTAAGTTTTCATTTGCTGGGTCAGCCATGACTACCTGCCTGAGGACATGTATAGCCTGGAGATGTTCCTGTAACAATAGGACTATGTAGTAAATGTTACTATAACAATGGTTAAATAAAAGCATGTTTATTGAAAAGAATGTCACTGCTAACTTACAAGATTTGTAAGAAAACGGCAGTGCTGGTTTTCAGTAAAAATATCTACCTAGGTTATATAATGGGAAACACTTACAGGATCATTTAATCAGGCATAGAATAAAGCAATGAAACAAAACAGCTGCCATCAATTGGATTTCACCTTTTAGTTAGAACAATTAAATATGGCTGCTGACTCGATGCAGAGTTGTTTCACTTTACATATCTTTTACACTCTTATATAAAATACTAGTTCTAATTAAATATGGCTCTGTTAGTGGGTGGACAGTGATTCAAGCCAGGTGCATGTCAAACACTTATTTTTGTCCATTTAGTAATTTAGAAAATAGTCAAGGCAAAGATAAATTGCAACAGACTAAGGCTGGGTTCACACCATTTTCCGGATCAGATCTGGAACACAGTGCATTGAGTTTTTGCCGCATTTTTACCGCAATTGGAATTTATTTTTGTTTTTAGCTTAAAATGGTCTTACAGGTGCGTTCCATGCATTTTTTTAAGCGTTTTAATGCGTGCATTCCAGACCAGAATAGGGCAAGCAGTATTTTTCTGGTCTGGTCTGGAATGGACTATGCTGGTGGGAACAGAAGCCAAAAATAGCATAGGGACACATTGGGATGCATTTTGGATCTGGAAACAGTCTGGTATGGACTGGAGTTAATCTGGATGTGGTGTGAATGGGCCCTCAAAGTGATTTCCTAAATGTTTTTAAAAAGCATCTGTCTGGTTAAGGAGCGCATTTATACTGGAGTAGACCACTGTAGAATTGGTAACTGAATATGGTACTTTACCGTACTCTCCGCTGAAAGTCTGATTATCGCACATCACTTTCTGCTCTGTACATAAAAATACCAGGACGTTCACACTAGATTTTGAAAACATGTATTTCCAGCTCACACCGGCACAGAGATAGAATCTTGTAGGACACTTCATTCCCGCCCTTGTCATGGTCAGTCAACATGTCATTAAAATTAAACACCCGGCAAATATAGATGTATACATTTGAAATTTATACATAATCGGTGCTACCTGCCAAATAAAATTTGCGTTAACCAGTATTGTAATCCGGACACCTTTGGCACAGCTCGGTCCTGGACTTCTCTTGAGTCTACCGTGCACTTAAATGAAATACAGTCTTTTATTGGACAAGGAAGAAGCAGCAGCACCTTCATAAGGTCATCCCTCTATTCGCTATTCCCATAAGCATGTTCACATATGCACTGTGCAATTCAAGAAGGTCCTAATTGGTTCATAGTGCTGCAATACAAGAAGGGCCTAATTGGTTCCTCTAGGTGGCTCTATGCAGGGGAACTACAGTAGGATGATTCTGGTACTTGTGTTGGATTATAATTGTAATGATCCACTGAATCATTTTTAATAGATATACAACAGAACAATGTGGTGTTGTTCTATATCCGGCTGGAATTCACCTTTAAGGTATTGAAGTTCTGGTCTTGTAAAGCCCTACTCTTAGCCAAACCCAACACTGTAGTATCATGGCTGTTGCAAAAGTTGCTTCATATATAATAAGAAACGGCATAAGGTTGAACTAAATATATTATGCAATAGCAAATTTAAAAAATCAAAGAATTTGAGAATGAATGTAATGCACATTTAGAACATATTTGTTTGTTCCCCGGTGCTGAAAGTTAAGATGTCAGTGAGTACCCAATGCTGATTAGCGCCTGTGTGGGGTGGCATTAGTAGGCATCTTTTGACATGTACTTTTGTCATCCCCCCCCCCCCCCCCCTGTCCTCCCTACCACACCAC